ATCCAAAGATGGAATCATTCATAATATATTTCAGACCGGAATCATATTTGTCATCAATTTCCTATAATATTATTGGGTCATGCAATGCCATAATTAAAATTGACATAGTATGGTAGGCATCTTGCCTTGTTTGTTCTCGGCTGTGCATTGTCTCGACATCGAGAGGACCTAGGGGTGTGACACACCCCTTTTACACACTCAGTGTCAGTGTGCAACTAAGGGAAGTGGGCCAAAGTGTAGTGTCTATGGTGAACGCTCCAACAGCTTGTAAATGCATGTTCACCTGTCCAAAAATGCCACAGTAGGGTTTGACCCACATCCACGTTTCTGCGAAAACATGAAACCAAATGAAACCAAACCCGACACCTTCAACATGGTCTTGGCAACATGGATCTCACGCGTGCTGCTTGAAGAGCCTTGGCAGCATGGATCTCACGCGTGCTGCTTGAAGAGCGCTGGGTCGTCGTTGCGCTGCTTGGGGAAGAGGTCCACCATGTCGTCCTCCCTGCGGGTGTCCCAAGTGGAGCAGTGCAATGACCCTCCGTACTCGAAGACGTTGCGGAAGGGAATGGGGATTACAGTCGTGAAGCCACATTGGTGCTTCAGCAGGTTCTGAAGGCCCTTCTCCTGTTCCTCGACGATGACCTTGCCCGGGCCGATGACGAAGATGTTCATACTGAGCCACTTGGAGCTTTGAGAGAAGGCTGGGCGCTCTGGGTTGTCTGGCTGGCCGCAGTCGACGAACTGCCAGCCGTTCTCCTTCCAGAACTCGGCGTCCCTGTCTGCGATGGGCCGCTCAGGGTTGGTGAGCACCAAGTGTGGCCCCAAGATCACAAAAGTGCAGTCGATGTGTGAGGGTGCCAGGTCGTAGGGGAAGTGTGCCGAATGCACTCGGATGCCTTGCGGGGCCAGCTCCCGACGCAACCACTCGATGCCCGCGTAGTTGCAGGTCATGGAGGGTTGCACAAAAATATCTTTGCCGCACCGGGTGATGTCTGCTGCGTCGAAGATCGGCTCCTCGTTGTTGATGCAGTACCGGTACTTGTGCATATGCTCGTAGCGCTCCTCGTCTGTCCAATCCCACCAGCTGAGGTCGTACATGTCGTCTGCCATGCTGGGCTTGGGTGCCGCTTTCCAGAGCATCTCTGGGTCCTCACGCCACAGGTCCCGCAAGATCTGGCGCACAGCCAAAATCTCAAAGTAGCGGTCACGGCGGCTCATGGCCGCCTCGATGGCCGTCTTCCCCACGGTGATGACGGTGTCGCGCACACAGCAGGCAACGTACTGGTTCTCCACAGCGAAGAGGGGTGTCCTGAGCGGCTGACTCCAATCCATGACCTCGGGCCGTAGCGTCTTCACACCCTCGCCCTCTAGCACGTTGACCAAGTTGTCCAACTCCTGGTTGGCCGCGTCGATGCAACGCTGAGACTTGCGACCACGAGGCCACTCCCCCAGCACGTTGCGCAGCACGGGGTCGTTGATTTCCGGGATCATGGCCGGCTGGACAGGTGGGAAGCAAGCGTTGTCGGCCACACCCACCACACACTCCTTGAGCTCCCCCCACTGCGTCCACGCGTTAAGCTTGCGGCCATGGCCCTGGGGACCCACCTTGTGCTGGGCGACGTGGACTTCGCGCGCCTCAGAACCGAAGCTGCGCCGCCCTTGCCACGAGAGCCCCCTTAGGCCCGCCGAAGACGAAAAGGCCCTGTGTCCTCCGTGCCCGCCGATGGCACCACAGGCACCACTGGGGCTGGAGCTACGCTTCCGGATGATGGGCACCATGGCCGTGTTATGGGAGTAGTACTCGCAGTCCGCCGTGGGCTCTACAGGAAAGGCCTCCACTAGAAGCTCGTCCTCGTGGTAGCCGGCGGCCAGTAGGTGTGGCTTCTGGGTGGCCTCGAAAAGCTCCTCCCACGAGTTGTACTCGTGTCGCAGCACGCCCAGCGATGTCAAGTTGCAGTAGGTCATGATGCCGCCGGGCTTCAAGATGCGGCGCGCCTCACGCAGGAAGTCAAACTGGTGCGTGTGTTGCTCCTCCTTGTTCAGCGGGTAGGTGTCATACAAGATGCCATCCACCGACCTGTCGGCGATGTGCTTGATGGAGTTCTGCCACAGATCTGGGCCCAGGGGCGTCACTTTGGAGGTTGCAGCTTTGGCAAACTCCTCCAACCGCTTGAAAACATCACTGTTGGCCTCCAGAATGATGTGCTCCTCGATGGGGTAAGACTGCACGGCCGTAGCACTGATGGCCATGCCAAAGCCGACCTCGACCACGCGGCCGCCGTTTCGCGTAGCGACCTCAGCCAGTTTGCCCATGTAGGGCGTCTCCCAGCGCTGCATCACCGGGTGGCCCTCAATGTCCAGCCGATCCTCGCTGAGCTGCTCGCGCTGTTTGACCCAACGGCTGTGCTCCGCCTCGCTGGGGAGCTCCCCATAGCCCTTCCGCATATTTGTGGAGAAGCGGGGGAGCAGCGTCTTCACATGCCAGCAGCGGCGTAGGGCACTCCACCCTGAAACCACGAGGCGCTTTGACATGGTTGCGACAAGTATTGGCGACAGAGGAAGCGGAACACCAAAGGTACGGGCGACAAACCGTGTTCGCCGCAGTTCCGCAGCTCTCAAGCTACCCTGACCCCTGCGCTTATAGGCCCTCGATCGGGCACTCGCATTTGGACCGATGATCGCACCAACACAGCTGAGTCACATGTGGAGGAGCTTCTTCATGGTATCGTCCCACGTTGTTCTAAACTCTGACCACAAACCCCTCGAATGTGCCTGCACCTGTTCATGCAATCGTTCCTACCATAAACAAGTGATTGAGTTTCGACTTCCATGATTGCACTTCTTCCCAGGTTTCGGATAGCAACAACTCACATCTCTGTGCTCGGCCCTTCTTTTGCTACTGGGAGTGGTCTGCAAAGCTTGCTGGTTCTCAGTGGGGAAGGCGGTCACCAGGTTTCCAATGTAGCCCCTTACAGGCACCCTGTCTTACCCCAACTCCCTAGTCTTTTAATGTTTAGGGTTTGGGGTTAGGGTTTTTAGTTTCGGGAACCAGCATGTAAGCCGTCGTGGCGCGAAGTTGAAATTGCCAGCCAGCTCTATGGTCTGTGAGCCGAACCGTGCCCATCATGGTTCGGACTCTGCTGATCTGCTGATGACATTGAGGTGGGGGGGGGGGGGGGTGATGACTCTACCTTGGGGTCCCTTGCTAACTTAGGGTCCCTTGCGGAGGTCCTGTCTACCACATCATCGGCATCTACTGCTGCTTACGTGGGCAGCGACTTGTGGTTTTCAGGAAGACTCCGCAGAGACGAGGCATCGAAAGATCAGGTTTCCAGGAGCCATCAACACAGCCAACTGACCACAATTTTTGCCGAACTGCAGTTGTGTCAAATCCCTGGCTGAAATCAAACTCAACAAGCCATGCTGATTCCCCATCTCGACAACCCATGGGTTTAGGGTTTAGGGTCTAGGGTCTAGGGTTTAGGGTTTAGGGTTTAGGTTCAGGGTTCAGGGTTTAGGGTGGCAAACAGTCGCTCACATCCGCCGGCGCTTGGGCTTCGGCTCACTGGGCTCCGAGACCTTCGGCGCATGGAAGAGCTGCGCGACGGCTGCAGGAAGGCGGCCCCCCTTCAGATCAGCCTGACATTTGGGGGGTGTACGATACTAGGGGACCCCCCAAAATAAACCCTAAACCCTAAACCCTAAACCCTAGTAGTAGGATAAGGACCCCAATAAGGTACCCCTACTATCGGAGACCCTCATTCTTTGCGGTTGGGCTGTCGCCTGGATGGGCGGAGTGCTGGACATCACATTGTCTGCCTGCTGTCCTGAATGACCTGTACAGTAACTTGAGTTAGGGTTTAGGGTTTAGGGTTTAGGGTTTAGGGTTTAGGGTTTAGGGTTTAGGGTTAATAGAAAATGTATAGGGTTTGTGTCCGGAGTTTTTTTTTTTTTGGTTTTTTTTGGGGGGGGGGGGTTGGCGGGTTTTGTGATTGCTTTTGCTCCAGTGGTTTGGGTTTCTGTCGGGTTGGTGGGGTGGGTGGTTTTGGGGTCTGACTTTTTGCAATGTGGAGGACGAAGGATTATTGCACGAGCGGCTCGTAATGAAACGCTTGCAATTTCTATTTATCCTGGCCTTGAGGATTTAGGGTTTAGGGTTTGAGTCTTGGGTGGGTCTTGCAGCGGGGGCCATCAGGGGACAAGAAAGAGTTCCAACCCCGTCGCGTGATAGATAACAAGTTCTTGTCGTGACCGGGGGAAGGACCCACCCTAAACCCCAAACCCTAAGCCCTAAACCCTAAGCCCTAAACCCTAAAGAACTAGGACCAGCAGATCAACGCAGACGAGTTGGCCTGCACCTTCTCGGACTCGGCTCCAAAGCGCTGGGCAGCAACTTTCAATCTTTCAAGGCCCTGCCCCGCGGAAATCGCAAAGGAGTTGGTATATTTCACAGCATATGTCATATAAACATGATATGATATGACATCATCTGTGTATGTATATGTATATGTACGTGTATGTGTATGCATATGTGTGTATACACGTATACATATACATATTGGCAAAACATGTGCTCGAAAATAATCCCGTGGGGGATGCCTCCAAGTGAAACCTGCCCAAACATTTGAATCCTGTATACCTTATATCTATAATCCTATATCTCTCTCTCCATATATATTTATATATATCTATAAATCTGTAGATCTATATGCATATACATATACATTTATATTTCTATTTGTTTTTCTATCATTTTTATTTGTTATAAGACATGGCAGACGTGATGCTTCCCGCCTTGAGGGCAGCATGCTCCGAGATTGCAAGAAAACTTTCATCGGTGATCATACCTCCACGACTACAAGTTGCAGTCAGCGAAATATGTTGGGAAGCAACAAATAACGGCCCCATCCCGGACTTGTGTCAGCTGGAAAGAAAAAAGATTTCCCACTCAGGGCTTGAGGGCCTGCCAGCAAGTCAGCCAAGATCGCGACCACCACCTCTGCGTGCCAGCGATGAGCCAAGTCCAAAGCATGCAAAGCCGTTTCGCGGTCTGGCTCCTCTTGTGCCGAGCACGTGTACATGATCCTGGGCAACAAGTGCAATGCCCAAACTTGAAGCATCGCTCCCAGGAGTGGGCTTTACGGTTTCTGGGAATGTAGTGGGCTTTACGTTTTCAACGGCACAAACCCCGGTCAGCCCTACATTAGCACTCTTGATCGCTTCAGCAACAAATCTTCTGCATGCACCCATCTGTGCGAAAAAAACCGAGGATCTCCAGCAAGAGCGACGCTGCCTTGTTAGACGTATCCTTGATCTCGATACATTGTGTTCTCCCTTCCTTCATTGGCGACTCCAACATGGCGCTGACGACGGGTGACGCTGCTTTCATCATGTGGGCATGTGCTGTCACCATCCCATCAGCCGTTTCAATGGTCAAGTCGTGCGAAGCCTTTGCTGCCAACGACTTTTCCCACAACTCGACGATGCCCTCATGGATGGACACTCTAGGTCCAACCCCACGCGAGCCGCAAGCTGCTGCAAAGGATTTCAGAACCTTTGCCAGGAAAGCCTCTTGGTCTTTCCAGTCTGACAGATGTTCGCGCATCTTCCTCTGCAATTCCCGCACATATGAGATGGAAGTGAGCCCTTTGCACTCCACACGGATCTTTGGTACCTGGGGTTTCTCTTCCCACCAAAAGTTGGAAGCACCACCTGTGCACTTTTGCTCGATGCTTGCCCCAGAGACAATGAGCCATTCAAGGGCCCTGAGGGAATCCGGAAAGCTGGAGGAATTAATCAGTGCACTGTGAATATGAACGACCAACATGGTCTTCCCATCGCTGTCTCGGGAGCTCCAGTCGAAGCTCTCAAGGCGCAGCTTCTTGAGATCCTCCAGGGGGCAACCATCCTCCAGAAATGCCCAAAACAGCTCCTCTTGCGCCATCAGGCCCGATGGTTGAGCGGAACTGCTGCTTCCTTAAACCCTGAACCCTGAACCCTAAACCCTGAACCCTAAACCCTGAGCCGATCCTGGATAAGCAGCAGGTTCTGTAGCTTGAGCGAAGCAGACGTCCCACAAACTTGAAAATCAAACTGGCGTGCACGATCTGGACCTGTTGTTCTTTCAAGCCTCTTTGATGTCGGTTTAGGGTTTAGGGTTGAGGGTTTAGGGTTTAGGGTTTGCCTTTAACATACAGCACTGAGAGCCAAATGAATCGGCCAAGCAGAAGTACCCAAGTAGTGAACTTTTCCAGCCATCGACTCACTGTCCATGTGCCACCTCTTTGCAAGCCCTGATGTGATCCGGAAGAACTCTGGAAGTGAAAGACCATCATGTTAAGCAGAAAACTCAACAGGAAAAATCACCCTTGCTAGCGACCATAGCCCTGAACTCCCCGGACAAATCAGCAGATAGTTAAGTCCCTAGTGCTACACATATGATTCCCGCGTTGGTTAAGCTGGTTTTTGCTTCTTCTTTGCAATGGCCGTTCTGAAGTACATAAAACGTTACGTGTGAACCTATAGTTCGCATGACCACCCCCGACTTCACATGGATAAATTCCTGGGGTAACTCAACCCAACTGTTTGAAATTGTCAATGCTCTAGTGCTCTCGAACTTGCTTCTTTCAAAACCTAACAGAACAGGAAAGATCACAGACATAGAATAGCGAGAGTTTGTGCAGCTGGGCTTTCGTATTTGGACCGATCAGCAACGTGGGACGATACGATGAACATCGACATCGTATCGTCCCACATACAACAGCCGACCGCAACGCCTGGAATATGCTTAAACCCAAAACCCAAAACCCTAAACCCTAAACCCTAAGCACCTGTTCATGCAATCGTTCCCACAGACATGTGATTCAGTCTCGACTTCCTTGAAACCCTTCCCGTGCTTCGGATAGCAAAACCAATGTGTCAGTGCCCAGCCTTTCTTTTGCTACTGGCAATGGTCTGCAATCTCGCGGGTTCTCAGTAGGGACTGCGGGATCCGGGGGGCACGCGATGTAGTCCCCTTGTGGGAACCCGAATCTCCCCGATTTCCTAGTTCCAAGGGTGGTTTAGGGAGAACCAGCAGGTAAGCGGTCGTGGCGCGAAGTTGAAACTGCTAGCCAACGCGATGTGGTTCATGAGCCGAATCGTGCCCATCGTAAATCGGACTCTGCTGATCTTGAGGGTGGGGGGGGGCTCTAACTTGGGGTCCCTTGCTAGCTTAAAGGTCCCTTGACGAGGTCCTGTCTACCATGGACTTTTTGCTGCCAAAGGCACCTCCCTGCAGGGTCTTATAATTTCAAACGCCCATACTGACGAGCGTTTTGGGGGCAGACTTCAGGGGCCATGAACCCACGCATGCAATCCTCCGGTCAGAGGAATTCCTGCAACAACGTTGCCGTCTTTGGGAATTCCAGTTCATGACACAAGCGGCGGATGCTCTACCCACTTGCGCAGTCGGCGCGCCAGCTTCGGGCTTGCGCCGAAACACATCACGTGCCCGCCCTCACGAAACCACCACACGTCACATTTCTGAAGGCCTTAACTCCGGCTTCTACAAAGGGGTTTAGGGTTAAGGATTTTAGGCTTTAGGGCTTAGGGCTAGCTCTAAGCCAGCACGATGGGGATCCAAGAGCTTCTACAAGCAGATCCTCTTCGCATCTACTCTGAGTTGGCCCTTAGGAGGGCCAAGGCCACCGCTGGCACAGGGCTTGCTTTTTGCAAAGGCGGAAGAAGTAGGATTCACGAAGCGACGGTAAGGGCTTTAGGGTGATATTAGGGTTTTAGGGTTTAGGGTTTTAGGGTTAGCTGAGCCAGGCACAATGGGGATCCAAAGTGGACTTGTTCACCACAGGGTCCTGGGCATCCAAGGGTCGCTGGTGACGAAATATTGAGCTTCTGAATTGGGTTTCGGGTTTCGGGTTTCGGGTTTCGGGTTTCGGGTTTCGGGTTTCGGGTTTCGGGTTTCGGGTTTAGGGTTTAGGGTTTAGGGTTTAGGGTTTAGGGCAACCCTAAGACCCTATATCCCCCTTGACAACCCACACCCCCAAAATCTGATGCCCTGATGGTCCTCGGGGTTCTGAATTCGCAAGACCTCGCCCGGAGGAAGAGGAGCCTGTACTTGGAGGGAGAAGTCTCCATCAAGATGCTCCTGAGCTCCAAAGGGTTTAGGGTTTAGGGTGACTCAAGAAGTGCTTGTTTTGGAACAACGGGATAAGCACTTCGGGTTCAGGGTGTAAGGCCGACGGTAGTCGGTGCGCGACGCCTGCGCGCCATGGAGGTACGGGGGCCGTTCCGTAAGCGGGCCCAAACTGGCCCAAACCTAAACCCTAAACCCTAAACCTTAAACCCTAAACCCTAAATCCTAAACCCTAAACCCGAGACCCTTGCAGTTCGAATCTGGCACCGGCCCTCCCGCAAGCCAAGCTTCGAATGGCACTTTCACCTGGCAAGCAGACTCGCCAACCGCCTGCTTCTTCAGCACCTGCGATCCAAGAGTCCCAAGGCATATAGGGATGTGGGAAGCTGTTCAGGGACTTATGCCATGTTCAAGGAGAAGCTGGTGATCATGACCACAGTCTTGCTAGCTGTAGTGGTGCTCAGGGACCTAAATGGCCTAGATACCTAGACTTCATCGCTGGAAACAGGAGGCAGCAACAACTCTGTCAAGGCCTGCCTGGTTCTGTGCCCAGGCAACTTCTGTAATGTGTCGGATGTAGGACCAGGTAGGCGGGAAGGGAAGAAGTCGACCTCCACATGAAGGACAGCAGCCGCAGCACAGTTTCGGTGCCCACTTGCAACTAGTTAGCAGCAAGTTGAGAATCGAAAACACAGAAAGGTGCAAAGCCATGCAGCGCTTGCACGTCTTTCTCTGCTCCTCACAGCGGCTATGGCGGCTATGACAAAACCCTAAACAATTGAAAGGATCATGACCCTAAACCTCGAGCAAATCCAGAGCCGCTGCAGCATGGACCTTGCAAAGGCTCGCAATAGATCTTCATATGTTCATTGTCGGATTTGGGCTTCGACATAAGATCATGGTCGGTTTTTGCCTTCGGAGGCTGAGCACTTGTGGGCTTCGAGGCTCAGGGAGTAGAAAACTTTCCCAACTGTGCACACCAAAGAGTTTGCATGAGCTGGGCAGTGCTTTCTGCACTGACAACTTTCGAGGTGCCCTCAACCACTCCTCCACCCCAAACCCTAAACCCTAAACCCTAAACCCTAAACCCTAAACCCTAAACCCTAAACCCTAAAACCAAAACGCTAAACCCCAAGCCCCCACAGCCTTCTGGGCACTTGAAGATCAAACGATTTCGCAGATTGACCGCCTTGGTGCCAAGACCATCCTAGAAATTCTAATATCCCTTACTTAGGAAGCATTCCTCAAAATTTATCTTAGCAACAAGGAATAATCTTCAGATGACTTAAGGACTGTTCCTCAGTTTAAGAGATACCGGAGCCTCTGGGAAGCTAAAAGACGAGTGCTTAAGGCCTGTGGGGCTGAAGCTGGGAGCTACTCGGCCAGGGAAGCATCGCTTGGTGTCGCTCGCGCGGATGAGAGTAAACCCTAAACCCTAAACCCTAAACCCTAAACCCTAAACCCTAAACCGGCAATCCCCAAATTCGGTGCTCGGCTTAGGGAATTAAGCAATCCTCAGGTTGGGGGATCCCCAACTCCATGCAGACGCAGAAGCCCGAACCATTTCAGCCCCAAACCCTAGGCCTTAATTCAACTCTTCCGTAGAAGCCCAGTAGACCTATAGTGTACTTTTGGACTACAGTTCCAAAGTTTGGGTCTTGATTCAGGGTTTTACTGAGCTTCGTACTGTAAGTTACTGTAAGGTAGCAAACCCAAGCACGAGGAAACCTCCCCTAGCCCTAGCCCCTGAACGGGTGTAGAGCGCTCAAGGCCAGGGAAGTTCTCAGGCGAAGGCCCAGAAGTGCAGCGCCAGGGGGATGTCTAAGCCTTACAGGCGCAATACCGGGCTTATGCAGGCCGCTGTTGGTTTCGGGTTGATGTGTTTTGAGGATAAGATTCCACAAATCACAAAACGTCCTCGAATAAAAGTTGCGCATGATCGCCCGGTTGGCAAAGTTCTTCAATCAAACGAACAGAACCAAACTGAGATGGAACCGCTATGGACGTAATCTTGGCCACCATGCACTTGCTGCTGTCAAGCATCGGGCAAACCATGACCACTTGGTCATTGCTTCAAACGTGTTGCGCAAGTGGTCAGGGCTGTGCACGGAGACAAATCCTGGCTCTAAGAGGTGACCCCACAGGGTTTAGGGTTTAGGGTTTAGGGACAGCTCTCCGTCATAAACTCAACACTTCGCCAAAGTTCACATGCCCTTGATCCGCGCCCTGAAATCCGACAATGGAGGCACTTCTCAGAATCCTGCTGCCTGAACACAATACAGGGGCCTTAACAATTTGAAAAGGGCTTTGGGGGGGGGGGTTATTATTGTACATTCATGAAGGGACCATTAGCTAGCGCCAGAATCCCACCAGGCTCGAGACCCTGACATCCCTGGTCAATCTTAGCAGAGTTAACTAGAACCCTGAATCCTAAACTCCACAGTAGAATGTGGGGGCTTACGATATTTGGAGTACCTTATTGGGGTCCGTATCAGAAGGGGATCCTACTATTTGGGGGTCTATTGCAGGGGCTCCCTGCATTTTCCTAGTCCTAAACCCCCCATTAGTCGAAGGCCGCCTCGGCCTTTTCAAGTCAAGTGTCTCAAGCGGCATGGCACCTCCAGCGTGCAGTTGCTTGACGCCTGGTTGTCGATGTTCAGCTGCGATCCGTCTTTGGCTATACAGCGGCCATCCTGGTGGGCATGCAAGCAACCCTAAACCCTAAACCCTAAACCCCAAACCCTAAACCCTACACCCTTACGAGCATAAGCTCGTGGCCCTTTCTTTGGAGTCCCTGGGCCTCATTGCAACGATGCTTTGTGATTGGTCAACTCAGTGCCAGTCAGCATTTCACCAGCTTACTTCAGCGGAGCCCCATTGTGTGCATGCAGTCTCAGTAACGTTGCTTGGAGCGTGGGATGTTCCCCCATATACTAACAGCTCCTCAATCGGGATTCTAGTACCCCCGAGTATGATCCCTATTAAGGACTGTTAGACTGTGAGCAGAAGGGGGAAGATCCCAACTGACAGCCGCAGCTTGACCGTTCTGTGTTCGTATCCTGGAAGGCCTGCCTGACTGTCAATTTGCCCTGGTTTGGGGTTTAGGGTTTAGGGTTTAGGGCTTCTTGACGGGTGACCACTTGCCTAGGTTGGACTCTCGGATGACATCAGCCCAGCAAAGTGACTCCCATCTGCCGGAAGGGCTGAAGCAGAGGAAGAAGGGCTGCCAAGACTAGGACATCACCAATCAACGTTCAGGGTCCATCCCTGCCCAAGTACTGAAGCGCACGTCCCCTCGCCGTCCTTGTAGAAACTCGCCCATCGCTTCAGGTGCTCTCGGCCGAGGAGGGTCGCCTTCTGGATGTGTGCCTTCAGGGACTCCACATGAGCCTCTTAGTTTGGGATTTGGGATGTTCCCCCTCAATACTAGCAGTACGTTCTAGGGAGTATAGTACGCCCTACTATAATCCCTATTAACGACTGTTAGTATAAGGAGGAACATCCCAGCTCTTAATTGCTGCTCCCATATTGGCGGCAGCGGCACAAGGACGACTGCCGTCGGATGGCAGATGATATATGCAGAGTTGCCCAAGAGTACTCCAAGAATGCTAGAGTCGACGCGCCTGCGTAGGCTGGGCTCCATTGAAGATCTTGTCCGCAGTGGACAGGGTCAACATTCCCCCCACCGAAAAGCCAAGAACAATGATCTCTCCTGGGATGCTGCAGTTTTGGGGGCTTTGGCTTTGTTTATTTCGGGGTGCAGATTGCTGGAGACATCGGATGCCCAAACAAGTGCGAGACGCTGTACAGACAGTCTTGCTTTGTGGGCCCGTCGTGGCTGTAAGCCCCCAAGCGCTTGAGGTAGTCCAGCAGGAATGCCCTCAGTGGCAAAGGCATCACATCTGGCTGCCACGCCGCTCTGAGGAAAACTGCCAAGCGATGGGTTCATTCGGGTTTAGGGGTTTAGGGGTTTAGGGGTTTAGGGTCATTCTTTCAAGAGGAGTCGCGGATCCGACAGGCCCGCGTAGGTTTGCTTTCGCCATTCCGCTCCACCTCGCACCAAGTAGCTGTGCAAGTGGCCATGTTGGGGCGCTCAAGAATTTCGCAAGGACAAACGATACCCCTCCTAGCTACGGTGGGCCTCAGTTAGCAAAAGGATTGGGGCTTTGAGAAATACACGACAGGCCCCTAAACTTCAAGCCCTGCTGGGCGTAGGGCTTGGGGATCAGAGTTTGGGGAATTAGGAACCTAAGCCCTAAACCCTAAACCCTAGACCCTAGACCCTAAACCCTAAGCTTAAAACCCCGAAAACTTTGGCCGAGCACCTGTGCCAGCATTATGGAAGAGGCACCAGTCCTCGCTCGACTTGTCGATGACGCCACCTTGAAGTACGCGCCGGGGGCCCATGATTCGCGAAGCTTGAGGTCGTTTAGGGTTTAGGGTTTAGGGTTTAAGGGTTCCTTAAACCCGAAACCCTAAACCCTAAGTGGCTGAGGCTCTAAAATTTTGGGTTTAGGGGCTTGGGGCCACACATCCTCACCAAATGCCAGAAAACTGCCGAAAAAAACCCTACAATGTCAAGAATCTTTGCAGAAGCTCGTGGAAGTATCCTGCCACGGAGTCTCCATCGCTCATTCCACCTGGGCGGGGACTGGGGCAGAGCCCAAGCTTTTCTCCCAAATCAAGGCCTCCGCCGGAACCCCTGAACAAAACTTGAATCTGGAAGGTTCAGTCTAAACCCTAAAACCAGAACCCTAAACCCTAAACCCTGAACCCTAAACCCTAAGCCCTATAAGCCCTGAGCCCTAAACCCTAAGCCCTGCCTGGCACCAGGATCCAAAGCCTCTTTGGTTCCGCTGGCTGGGATGATCTCTCAGGCCACCAGACTGCGTACTCCTCGCGTTTCTCTGAGTCCGGAGGGCTCTGGTCTCCCAATATACTAACTTACTAATATACTGATATACTCATATACTGATATACTCATATACTACAACACTCATATTATACTCATATACCAATATACTTTAAACAACGGTGTATATATATATACCTATATATATATATATGTAGGAATATTAGTTGAAAAAGAATTACATGGATTTGTACATGTTTCAGTGTCTATGGGCAGGAGCAAGAAGACCTGCAGCCTTTCGACGACAAAGCGGCAGCCGGCCATGCAAGCAGCTCTTGACCAGCTTCGCGCGCGGAAGGTTGTGCGAAAGACCAACAAGTTTGCCAGGACCCATGCCCAGAACATCAGACTAACCAGCAACAATGACACTGACAAGAGATAATCGTTTCGGAGTGAAGCCATAATGATAGAAGCTGCGTGGTAGCAAAGACAAAAGCGTGTCCAGAAGCACGCGATGTCACTAGCTTCATCATGTGCCTTTGTGCTCCATTGTGATCGGGCATGAAGGTTCGTTACTCAGTTTGACGCGTGCGCATATGCCACATTCACAGGCAAAGGGAAGCAACAAGCGTATTGTATTTTTCTATACAATATATGACAGACCATATGCTGTCTTCTTGCATATAGTATACATAATACATATACATATAACAGTATACATATATATATATATATAAATTCGTTAGTATACTCTTAGGGTCAGGGGCCAGATACAGCTGATGATGAGAACAGCGGCGATGGGCTTGACAAGAGGACGGGATGAGCAATGCCCCGACCAAGCCTTCATAAAACGGACCCAAACCCTAATCCCTAATCCCTAAACCCTAAACCCTAAACCCGAAACCCTAAACCCCCTAAACCCTAAACCCCAAAACCCTAATTTAGACATATAAAAACAAGAGGCCGGGTGGGCCAAGTTCTGAAAGGGTATGCGTGTCTCTTTGCCTGTAGAACCTATGTAAGGGCGGTTCCATGTCACCTGGGAGGGGTTTGTGCACAAAGCTGGCTTGTTTCAAAACCCCCCAGGGGCCGAAATCCGAGACTGCTTATGAGAAGCTCTGCCGGGTCCTCTTGAAGCTCTTCATGGTTGTGCAACAGGATGCGATATGTCTGGCGCTCACCACAGAGGCGGCGAAGATTCACCTTGCAGTACGCCGTTCTTAAATGTCTCGACTCTTTCAAGCTTGCACGAACCAGCCAGGCCCATTGATGGATGTAGGCCGGGGGCTGTATGGGTTTAGAAGCTTCGTCAATGACACAGTCCCCCTTAAAAAGAGGTCAACCTCTTCAGAAAGGGGGCCTAAATGCAAGCAGTCTTTCATTTTGACCGAGACCTCCTGCATTTGAGCATACATGCTTTTCAACGCGCACAGACTTGAAAGCCCCAAGAAGTGGGGGCTTACAAAGAAAAAAGGGACCCCTGAAATACTCATAGTCACCAAATCATAGGATTCCCTTACAAGGAGGACCCCAAGAAGGTATCCCCGAAAATTCGGAAAGCCCCAAGTAGAGCCCCCCACATGGCCTGGGTGGTGTTGCAGTTTAGGGTTTAGGGTTTAGGGTTTTGAAGAAGGTTTTCGCACTTGGACAGCATCCATTTCTCAGGAGACGCGTACTCTGACCTGGGTTTCGAGCTTCCGGAGCTTGAAAGCTCAGTGACATGGGTACTTCTGTAAGTTCATTCGGGTTCCCGATTGAGGTGCCCTGAATATGAGGCTCCGTATTCTAGCAAGATACTCAACCAGGACATAATTTCAAGAACACCATCCCCACCCCCCCCCCCCTTTCCGCCCCCCCAACACACGAGCACTGAACATGCCGGCTGGCCATGGTCGAAGCCCGCAGCATCGCAAACATACCACGATGCCACCAGAAATCGCACCTGCACGGCTGGCGTTTAGGGTTTAGGGTTTAGGGTTTAGGGATGTTTAGGGGTCCTCGATGTGTTGCTCTCTGTCAGGGCTTTTAGGGCTTCGAGTTGCATGCCCCACGGCATTGGATGGCAAAATCTCCTTGTGCCGGAAGACTCGAACCTCAAGGGTTTCCCTACTACCCCCCCTCTATAATACCTCCCCCCCTCGGGTTCAGGAGGGTTTAGGGTTTAGGGCTCAGTGCTTTTTAGGGTTTTGGGTTTAGGGGGCTTAGGGTTTAGGTGCTACCCACCCTAGATTCCCCCCTAAAATAACCTTAATGAGGCTTAATTATCCCTAAATAGCCTGAATTCTGGGGGGAACCTGCAAAAGGGGGGGGGGGTTAAGTATAGGGCAGTAGGGGAACCCGTGAGAACCTTGAAGCCTTGAGCCCGAAAACCTTTGCACCTTGCAACCCTCAAAGCGTAAAGCCTTCAATCCCAATCCCCTAAACCCTACAACTCCAAAAACCAAATGCATCCCCACGATAAACCCTAAAACCTTACTTAACCCCTGATAAACCCTCATAAACCCTTCAACCCTCAAACCCTTATAGCCCTAAGCCCCTTATAGCCTTAAGCCCCTTCAACCCTTCAACCTTTGAGCTTCCGATCATCGGCGTCCAGTCCGAGGCACACTATGGAGCGTAGCCACTTGGACAGCCCTTGGTTGAGCTTAAACCCTTAATGGTGCTTCAGGGTTTAGGGTTTAGGGTTTAGGATGGTGGTGCTTAAGGGTTTACTTAGTAGCCCAGCAACCATACTACAATAAGTTGACAATAAGGGTACCCTTTTTGGGGCTGGTTGCTTTGTACAGGAACCATGAACAAGAAAAGGGCAAACCCTAAACCCTAAACCCTAAACCGTAAACCCTAAACCGTAAACCCAAAGCCCTGAACCCTGAACCCTGAACCCTAAACCCCAACCCTAAACTTTAAACCCGAAACTCTAAACCGGCAAGTCTAGGGGACTTGAAAGCTTTGCAGGTTGAGGCGTTGCCTAGACCACCGATCCTGAATTTTGTTTCAGGGCACATTGAAACTTGGCTTTAGGGTTTAAGGTTGGCCTTCTTTACCCTAAACCCTAAACCCTAAACCCTAAACCCTAAACCCTAAACCCTAAACCCTAAACCCTAAACCCTAAACCCTAAACCCTAAACCCTAAACCCTAAACCCTAAACCCTAAACCCACCAGACGGGCCACCCAGAGCAAGCACCACCTTGGCGAGGCCGCTCCAGAAGCGCGTCGTTCTGCAGAGGTCTCGCGCGCCCTGGGGCTGGTGGCTCTAAGGCTCGGCTTTGGAAGGGCTAGGGTTTAGGGTTTAGGGTTTAGGGTTTTGGGTTTAGGGTTTAGGGTTTTGGGTTTAGGGTTTAGGGTTTAGGGCTTAGCACTGAGTGTTTAGGGATTGGGGTTTAGGGTGTCGGGGCTCACAGAGAAGCTTCGGGGTCCGAGGGACAGGGTTATTCCAGGCCTGTAGGTATCTGATGCAGCTGGAGTAACCTAGGAATACAAAGGGTACCCTTGTTGGTTTTAAGGGGATTATGGGGGACCCACAACCCCTAGGCTACTCTAGCTGTTGTGGTATCTGCCATCTACGGACTGCGTGTGACAAGGTGGACATAGATCACAGAGATGCAGAGGTTCAGGGGTTTCCGGGTTCAGGGTTTAGGCCCTCCCTAAACCCAATCCCTAATCCCTAAACCCTAAACCCTAAGCCCTAAGCCCTAAGCCCCAAACCCTAACCCCTTCAAGCTCAGCAGGGCGGCCGCAAGCTCACGGCGCAGGTGGCCCATCAGTGCAAGCGCAGTCTTCACGGCCATGACCCGGAACCCCTGAAAAGCTGGAACTCTGCCAGCTGCTAGCGCCTTTGGAGGCTTGAGCACCAAGCCTACGGGGTTTAGGGTTTAGGGTTTGGGGTTTGGGGTTTTGGGGTTTTAGGGTTTAGGGTTTAGGGGTTAGGGTTTCTTGACACTCGAAAGACCTGAGTAGAATCCTACTGCACGAATGTTTCCCCCCCCCTCCGGTAAAGCTCCTTACAAGCGTGTAGCAGGGATCGCAATGTTGCTGCAAGGCATCCCTGAAGGCACCACTCCTGACTGCCAAACAAGCCGTCCTAACGGCTCGGTTTCCTAAGCTGGCTCCGTGCAAGGCTTCAGTCCCTCGAGATCTTCTCTGGCAGCTGCTTCCGGAAATCTTGGCCTTCCCCCGAGCTGGATCAAAATCATCTGCGCCCCCTAAACCCTAAACCCTAAACCCTAGACCCTAAACCCTAAACCCTAAACGCGAAACCCTAGACCCAAAACTCTAAACCCTAAACTCTGAGCTCTAAACCCTAAAGCCTCGCTTGCGACATTTTTTCGCTTCAGCGCCAGGTGCTTGCAGTCCAGTGGAGCGCCAGTTGCTTGAGGCAGTGCTGCAGGTCCGGAGGCAGCGGGGCCTCCACACATTCTACTTACAGCCCTCAATAGCGATTATTGTAGGGGGGGCACTACAATCCCTATTAAGGACTGTTAGCATATAAGGGGGAACATCCCAAGTAAGGACTCTCAAAGGCCTTGCGCTGTCGAATCTATTTGCTCGAAATTGCCCGAAATCATGGGCTCGCAGATGTCGCACCTAAACATATCCCTGCAGCAGGTCCAGGGTTTAGGGTTGAGGGTTGAGGGTTGAGGGCTTGGGAGCTTAGGGGGTTTAGGGGGGTACCCTACTTTGGAATAGACCCTGGAAAAAAAGTATGGACTATCTAGGTATAGGCAGCGATAATAGGAAACCAGAACCCAACAAAAAGTACTAAAGTATAGTACTCCAAACCCCAGTATAGGCGGTCCTCTACCCTGAAGCCCCATAAGACCCCCCCCCAAAAGCCGTAAGGGCCACCATCAAAACCATCATAAGTCGTGATCATCAAAGGGTTTAGGGTTTAGGGTTTAGGGGTTTAGGGTTTAGGGAAAGCATTTAGTCTGGGCTACAAAAGAAAGGCCCCTTCCCATCGCCCTAAACCCTAAACCCTAAACCCTAAACCCTAAACCCTAAACCCTAAACCCTAAACCCTAAACCCTAAACCGTCAGCTCAGCCTCCAAGCGCAGCGCTTGGGCTCGGCTGGGATGTGGCGCTTGGAAGCGCCAAGCGTGCAGCGCCTCATTGTGGTTTAACACTTCTCATCTTACTCACTTAGAATATGCGAATTCATGAGGTGACATAATTCTCTAATGTATGATTAGATGATCATTAACCTTGGCTGACTTCTGAACCCCTCCTAAAAGCTTAACTTTTAGGTTCCTTATTGTAGTTTCTACAAGAACCCCCAAGGTTAACGAACCCACAAGGCTAAAGTCCTAGGAGCCAGCCAGAAGAAAGCCAAGGTTTCGTGGAAAGCCAACGCGTGGCAAAGGGCAAGTCGTGGCAAAGGCTCACATGTGGCAGGCTACTCATGTCCCCCATGGCTGCTGAATCTCTCTTTTTGGTTTTGGTTCTTGGGCCTAAGGCCACGGGCCCTGGTGTAGGTGCAGGATGCTACCACAAGCCCTGTGGTTGCCTAGATGATGCCGGCATCGCCCTCGCGAAGCTGCATTCATGAACCCTAAACCCTAAACCCTAAACCCTAAACCCTAAACCCTAAACCCTAAACCCTAAACCCTAAACCCTAAACCCTAAACCCTAAACCCTAAACCCTGGAATGGAGGTTCTCCTGGCGCCATAGGACCTTTCCTGAGGATCTGGCCACGCGCTTCGGTGCCTCAACACAAGCAAGCTCTCAGGGAAGTTGCATGGTCCCTCAGAGCAGGGTTTAGGGTTTAGGGTTTAGGGTTTAGGGTTTAGGGTTTAGGGTTTAGGGTTTAGGGTTTAGGGTCTAGGGTCTAGGGTTTAGGGTTTAGGGTTTAGGGCTTAGGGTAAGGGTGGTTTCATGGTCCCTTAGTACGGGCCCGCAGAACGGAGACCCCTTCCATACCCCTTATATACCCTACGAAACCCAAGGGCCCACACTTCAGAACCCTTAGACAAGCTAAGCTTGCAAGCTGCTGTGCGGTGTGCTGCTGGCAAGTGCCGAAGTGGCTGCCTTTCGGCCCCTGCAATCTTAAAACGAAAAGTCGACCCTAAGGTTGTACCAACAGCCCTAAGTCCCTAAACCCTAAACCCTAAGCCCCTAAACCCTAAACCCTACAGCAAGCCCCCAAACCCTGAACTCCTCAACCCAAAGCCAGGCTGAACCACTCATCCTGCACCCATGTAGGCTGCTGGCGGCCTAAACCCTCAACCCTCAACCCTCAACCCTCAACCCTCAACCCTAAACCCAAAACCCAAAACCCAAAACCCCAAACCCTGAACCCATGTAGGTTGCTGGCGGCGGGGTGTGACACCACTCGGCTGCCTCCGTACCTGGAGCCAGGGCCCAGTGACAGAGAGGGATCGGACATCAGGATTTCATTGCGGTTTAGGGTTTAGGGTTTAGGGTTTAGGGTTTGGGGTTTAGGGTTCAGGGTTTAGGTTTTAGGGTTTAGGCTGTGGGGTTTGGGGTTTGGGGGTTACGGGTAAGGGTTTAGGGTTTAAGGCTTACGCTCTAGGATGTTCCCCCTCACACTAGCAGTCCTTAATTGGGATTCTAGTACCCCCCCCCAAGTAGAGTCCCTGGTAGGGACGGTTAGTAAAGGGGGGAACATCCCAAGTTATGGGGCTTGGGAGGGTTCGGGGTGTTTAGGGATTCGCATCCCGATGCTCTGGGCGATGCCCGGAAGCACAGGGCTAGGGGTTTCGGGTTTAGGGCCTTTAGGGCTTAAAGACCTCAAAAATTCCTAAGCCACCAATGCTGCCGCGGGCACATCTCGTCCCCCAGGAGTGGGGCACCGATGTGATGCGCGTGAACACGAATCTGCAGGAAGAGGCTTTCAGGACTTTTGGATGCAGTGTCCGGGGCTCAGTTGTTGCGTTCTTCAAAAAGCCAACAAGCAAGCTTGCACCAAGTGCAACCTCAGGAAAGCCGATGGTTGTGCCGTGGCGTCCGAAGGTTTGCCCTTTGCAACAATAGTTGGCCCAAGGTGCTTTCACAAGCTTTTGCACCTTGGTATGGCTACCTGCTAACGAACCCCTAAGCCCTAAGCCACGAACGGACGGCTTGAGGTTCCGGGTTAAACCCAAAACCATTACCCCCCAAGCCCCTATCCCTAAACCCTCAACCCTAAACCCTAAACCCTAAGTCCTTAACCCCCGAAACCCAAATCCTTGCTGTCCATTCCGCAAACCCGATGGAAGGAAGGTTTGGAGATGTTAAGTTCCCCTGCAACCTAGAGGAGAACAGGGCTTGCTTAATGGGTGTGCCATGGAACCTATCCCCACCGGAAGGAAAGCAGGGCAGCACTGGGGGTCGTGGGATGTCTGCTTCAGGCTGTTAGGGTTTCGGGTTTACACCGTCTAAAGCCTTTAGCCATGTGGGATTTCAGGCTTTTGGGTGGAGGATGTGAGGAGTCAGGCCTGGAGTTTTCGTGTATCGAAGCAACATTTTGTTTCGACGTGAAGGTGGAAGAGCTCCAGCTCGGAAATGGGGCATGCCAATTGGCATCCCTGGATTTGCCCTGACCCAGCAAACGACTGGCTCCCTTGCTGTGGCTGCGCTGAGGCTTACGGCAACATGTTTGCGAAGGGCAGTGGGGGGCCCCTTGATTGCAAGGATGCGTAGGGTTCCTGCAGACACAGCAAAGGGCAAAGGAAAAGGTTGCTCCTCTAATGTTACATAACTTGCCATGGCCCGAACCCCTTTGGGTTCGCCGGTGCATATGTATGCGAAGACAAGCTCTGAGCTTGTGCACAGATGGGCTCGCCACAGTGGGAAAGTTCTCCGCCATTTGCGAATGTGCAGCGCCTCCCAGCCAAGGTGTGTTATGCGGTTCCTACTTCTTGCGTGTTCTCCTTGTGGAATACGCCTCCTTGACCCTGGCTTCAGCTGACTGATTCACTTTTGATGTCTAAGAGCTAGAAGGAGGTCGTGAGCCGACATCCGAAGATGCTGTTGCGCAAACGTTCGTTTGTGCATGCATTCCAAAAATCTTGAAAATTGTACAAGTTCGTATGTCCATGAGCTGACCGCGCCAGTGCTGCCATCTCTCTAGCAATCTCTGGTGGGATCTGAGACCTTCGGGCGCCAAAGCCCTAAACCAAGAGAAAACAGGGTTTAGGGTTTAGGGTTTAAGGGTCTAAGGGTCTAAAGGTTGGAGGCTTATCCAAGCAACAAAATGGGAACCCCAACCAGGGAACCCCAAGAATAGAGTAGGAAGACAAGAGGAGTGGACCTACCCGGGTCCTTACATTCCCTTTACATTCCTACCATATTCTTGAAGTTCCCAGTTTGGGGCTCCTGTTAAAATCCTTCAGGCTCAGGGCTTCGGATGAACGAATGAATTTTCAGAGGGTGCTCCTAATGGCGGGAAACAGCACTCGAAGTTTTCGGTCGGCAAGCCCACAGTACAGAACCCTAGGCCTCAAACCCACAAGCCTCTAACTAGGGGGGTGCAGGCCGGGGGAGGGGTGTCCTGCGTTAGGCCCCTTAAATGGCTTAGAAGCCCTTGCAAAAGGCCAAACAAGAAACCCCGACATCGAAGAACTCTAACAACGCACTGCAGAACCCGAAGCCCTAAGCTGCGGGTCAGCGCAAGGACATCGTGGATTGAGATCCCTCACCAATCCAGCCGCCCCAGTCCCTGGTTCGGCAGAACACTGATTATTAGGGGTGTAGAATGCATGCTTATGGTTCAGGCTTCCCCCTGGTTCTTAGTAGGGAATGAGGGAATTAGGGTCCGACACATACCCTTCTAGGGATGAAAAAAGGGTATCTCATTCCCTCGTTCCCTGCTAAGAGCCAGCCAGGCTTGGGGTTCTGGGTTCAATTTGATAATCCCAGGGGCATACTTAACCAGAATGCGAATTCTGGGTGTGCAGTGCTGTATGCTGTTCTTCTCTTTCTTGTGTCTGAGTTTCTCAGAGCATGCCAAAAGGGGCTGAACCCAAACCCTAAACCCTAAACCCGAAACCCTAAACCTAAATCCTTCCTTTGGTTGAAAGGGGCTTATACAGGAACCGAATCCTCCTGAAGAAGGGAAGAAGGGCACTGCTGGGCATCCTAGACAAAGGTCAAAGAGACCCGAAACCCTAAACCCTAAACCCTAAACCCTAAACCCTAAACCCTAAACCCTAAACCCTAAACCCTAAACCCTAAACCCTGAGCCCTAAGCCCTAAGCCCTAAGCCCTAAGCCCTAAGCCAAGCCCTAAGCCCTCCTGGTGTTGATTCTGGGCTTGGGAAGTGGGAACTTAGGAATCGGGGTTTGGGGTGTGATCCTCTTGGCCCCTGTGAGCCGAAGCCTTTAGGGTTTAGGGTTTAGGGTTTAGGGTTGAGGGTTACTCAGAAGAAGGAAGAACTAGTACCTTGTAGGTGGGCAGGACCTGGATGCAGCTAGTGTCGCAACCCACTGTCGCAAAAGGCTGTTAAACGCGGAGCACCATCGGGGTTTCAGGCACTTCGGGGTTTAGGGTGGAATGGCCGGAAGTCAGATCTGTGGGTGTACGAAAATCCAAGCGACCCTGGTCTAGATCCCCAAATTTCTTTGGACCCCCGTTATAATAAGGACCCCTCATTTCGGGAAACCCCATGTCTACGGGTTCATGTCTATCTTCCAAGCTAAAAATGCAATGGTTTAGGGTTTAGGGTTAGGGTTTAGGGTTTGGGGTTTAGGGTTTAGGGTTTAGGGTTTAGGGTTTAGGGTTTAGGGTTTAGGGTTTAGGGTTTAGGGTGTACAATACCTTCCCACGCGGGGTGCGGCTGAGTGGCGGAGCTTCCTGTGGCATGGAGCCGTCTCCAGCGTCTTCGGGCGAGCGGTGGGCGTCACATTACTTGGTCCTACGCTGTCCTACCAGAAAATGGGAGTTTACGAAAATGGGGGACCCCAAAAATGAACCCACAAATAGTAGGATTCCTTTATACGAGTAATAAGGACCCCAACCAGGTACCCCAATTTCGGAAAGCGCCAAATCAAGCACCTGAGTTTGAGTACATGCGGGCAGCCTTCGGTCACCGCCGCTACGCCGTCCGCCCCCGTGAGCTCCTGCAAGAAGCCCCGGAACCCCAAAACCCGTCGGGCTCATGCCGGGCGAAGGTTGGTTTTGGGGACTCAACACCTAGCGTGTGAGGGGTTTAGGGTTTTGGCGTGACCCATTCTAGTCCGTACTAAGCCCTGAAACACTATGGGCAGAGCACTACCCTGCAGGGGCGGTTGGTCGTCAGTGACCCAGGTACTGCAGCTTCTAAATTCTTGGACCAAACATGGGAGGGTTCATAGGGTTGAAGGGATAATCTGGTGGATCGGTAGCCATGGCGTCGCTGTGTTAATGCCGATTACAGCGCGAGTTGGAGTTTCAGCGTCCACGTGCAGGGTTTCGCATAATTCTGGTCCTTGGGCCAAAGCTTTAGGTTTGTCTTGCTTCATCTGACTTAAGCTTAAACTTGCCAACTCGCAACCAGCGATTGCCTTTGGATCGTCCCAAGGTATTGCTGGCCAAGTCGCCGCTCTAATCTGCCACACAATCACAAGCTCATGCTCCTAAGTCCTTAGACTCCTACGCCCACATCAACTCGGCCTGTCGGTTGGGCTCTTCAGAGTATCCGACATGAAACCCAAACGTCATGGCGGTGTCCCAGGGCCCAAATGAGGATTGAGGGTTAAAGGGTCTGGCTGCCCACAGACTGATGCAGAGATTGTGCTATACTGTTACAAGCCAGCCCAACTGCAGTAGAACGCAACATTCGTTTTGCGCAAAGGCCACCAGCTTGACGTCTTTCCCTTGGCGGAGCTCAGTCAGGGATTCCAGCTGACCTTTGAGGTCTTAGGCAAAGACACCAAAGTGAGGACAACGGGCAGGAACGAAGGGAGCCCATTTCTGGAGGCAGCTCGCGTCAACCAATCAAGTTCAAAGCATTAGCAGCACCAGTGCAGCCATCGGCCCAGGAGAACCAAGAGATTTGCCAGCCGTGACTTCTCCGAGATCTCAGGTTCTGGGTCAGAACCTTACTTGGAACTGCCGTAAACCAAAGATGCATGTTGTGATACAGTAACGTCGAACCACGTCTACCCACTGGCCGATCGTCTTCACTCTATTTTGTGGAGCGTTGAGGGTTAGATCCTTCGCTACTTCTGAATGGCGTCGTGTCAGGGTCGGCTACGTTCAAACGCTCATTGCTGCTTCTGATACTCATCACCGATCTCCCCAGTCAGTCGTTGCATTCCAAACTACGCACCTGTACATACTCAGTATACCTGCGCATGTCACCATTGACTACTTCAAGCACGCATGTGCAGAACACACAACCCGGACTCCAAACATTGGACCTGTGCGTCTCCGTCTGAGTGGCATTTTGTCCTCCGCCATGCGCGCTGAAGCACTATGGCAGCGGGCTCCTTGCGGTGTCCCCAAACAAAGAGCCCAATAGCCCTTAATTCAGCAATATACCTTAATTTATAGAGGGGTCCTTAATATGATTTAAGGTATAATCCTTCATTAAGTGGTGCTCGAGTTCCCCTCAGCCCAGAGGCCGTCAACCGCAATCCTTCTTCTCCGCATCTTCAACCCCTAAAATCCCACACCCTAAGCCCTAAACCCTAAACTAAGTGAGGGGTTGCTTCCGTCGAGCGACAGCCCCCGAACGCTCGGCCGAGGGCCTTACAGCCCGAGCGCCCAAGCGAAAAGAGAATTCAGCCTCACCGTCTGGACAGGCCAACGGACATCGGCCTTCCTTACGACAACATCAGTACTCGGCTAAGGGATGGCCGTGCCGAGACCACCTTGACCCTTTAGTTTAGCTAAAGGTTTTTCCCCGAATCGTCCAC